GATCAAAGACAAACTTGGCTGACCAACGACATATGCGAACCAAGGAAAAGTTAGCCTGCGGCACTTTATTATAGCTTCACCACCCAGTTCTGCTCGTCGTTTGAGAATTTTTGTTCTTAAATTTGATCTTCACAAACTCGGGCGTTGTTGCTCCATTGAAATTTGACATGTCATATCATACAACCCGCCAGCCATTTATTATGTCTCTCCGCATTCACCTGGACCGCTGTTGCCAACTGCGAGCTATGTCCCACGAGAGGATCTCACCTACACGACGCTCACGCTCTCCGACCAGGGCATCGTCTTCCGCTATGGGGTCTTCGTCACTTCAGCACCCACCCAACCGGACTCTGCCTACGACACCCCATCGACCGGTTATTTCCCAATTGGACCTGAAGCCGATGCAGCAACTTGCCGTCCGCAACCCTTACTACAACATCTTGACCCCCAAGGTCGCGGGCAACCTCTCTACGGCCACCTATGATAGCCTGTTCCAGACGTTCAAGGTGATCTACCCGGACTATGCTCGCAGTCATTTCGTTTCGGACCTCCAAACCGTGGTTACCGACACGCTGTTACAACGATGGTCGATACATCTACCAGTGACAGATTTCTACATGATGATTGACACCGATCAAGGAGCTCAGATGCTTGACGACCTCCCTCATTCTCTCCTGGACGTTTTGAACTGGTTCTACCCGACATGGAAAACTCATCAACATCTCGATGCCTTCACGACTCGTGAGTGTTCACCTTTGATGCTGACACCCCATCCAGATCCACAGGACACAGGCTTCGCTGTCCATGTTCAAGTGATTCCACGCGGGCATCCATTCGTCACGGCCACCAGATACACTAAAGCGGCCGAGTGATTAGCCTTTGAGATAGATCTTGGCGACGCTCACGTCTATGAGGAAAAGGCAAAAACACTCGTTATGATGTCCGCCACCTCGGTTTTGGGTTTCCTTTGTCTCACTTACTTCTCTTCTTTCCATATTGTGATGTTCGTTATTCATTTCTTCATCATTGACCTTTCCCACGGCTTTTTGGCTTCAGTTCAGTGTATCTCGATATCATATTATTGTTATTGTACATGATGACCTCCAACACGGATGATACTGCTCGATTGGTCTCACACCGTTCCCCACCTACATCCGTACATGGCCTTGTCTCACACCTGCCACCTGATGATCCTACTTCGGCATCGTATATTCCCCGTGCAGCGCGAACGATCCCGACCTCTACAACTGTCCATTCCGTCTTCATCAAGAAGCTGAGCTATCCCTTGTCTACCCGTCCGGATGAACTTTGGATCGTGGAAAGGACACTTGATGGTATTGAAACGTGGAAACCAGTGGAAACATTTCTGGAGAACATGCACCTCACCAACGATCAGGCCACCCTACGTACCACGGCTAACCATTGGCGCCGATACTATGACGTACCAATTCAATCATCCTCCTCCCCTACGGCAACTGCTGTTCCTGTTCTACCACACCCTGAACACTCCAACGTCTATGTCTCCCAACCGTACGAAGCGATACCGGACCAACTCCATATTTTACAGTCATGCTGGGGACGCTCTGCCCAACACCACTCTCAAGGAACCACCACCTCTTTATATTGGCCACCATGGCGGTCTACACCACCTTCTTCACCACCGGCAACATTGCAACGTACTTTACATCTCACTCGCCCTACCGCCCCTCCTCAACAAGTACATGGTCCACTGGATGCGAACGATATGGGCCCGATGGATATGTCGGACTCCAGTGTGTAATACACCACATCATGTGTCGGCATCGGAAAAGAACAGTGACTTACCGTCGTTTTGTGACTATTCACTAGGTACACCGTTTCCCTCCATTTCATATTTTTGAGCGTTATTCTTTGGTCATTATCAACCTATGTTGCAGCTTGGGCTTTCCGCTTTATCTTCGACACTCGACGTTCGACGCCATGGCTCATTCTTCTCGGCCCCATCCATATCGCGCTACATCCACGGTTGAAACACCAATGGGCACCCGAAATGCTGGATGGTTTGCTGGCCCCCGAGGCCTACCTGGTCAGGTGAACCTTCCTCCAAACCGACCTGTTCTTATCTTGATTGTCTACTCTCCCTTACAGGCATTGACTCACCGCAGCGAACCTGACCGTGAACACTACATGGCTTTGGCTAGCTCAAATTTCAAAAATGTTAGTGGCTACGAACTTGAAGCTCTGTTTACCTGGTCGCGTCAGATGGAACCAGTTGAAGCCGGCCTCATTCCCATTGGCGAACTACGCTTCTGTCTCTCAAAAAGATTGAAGTCCCAATGGGACATCCAAATTGACCCTTCGAATTTGGAGTTTCGCTATTGCGACCTGGACGGTGATACATTTCAAGTCTCCAATGATATGACGATCTTGCGGCTTTTGGAGGAATACCGACCCGAATGGCGACTCCGGCAGTACAACTACCGCGAATCCTCTTTGCTCATTCCGGGTACCTCACAGCCTTTCGTACTACGTCTGCGATGCTACAAAATTAGCCCCGGTGTGATCTTGCCCTGATACGCTAACAGGCCAAAAAGACCATGCTGAAGGGTTTTCGATTCTCCTTTGACACTTCACCAACACAAAGGATTCTTTGATTTCCACCTTATTAGACTTTGAGCTTTGGCCTTTCCCTGGCAATTGAACCACTGGATTGAGGACTGGACTTCATTTCTATCATTATTATTATTATTGTTATCATTTTCTGACTTGGCTTATATTCTTTGATGCCTCAGCCTTTGTTGCACCATTTCCCGCATTTTTGATCGTTTCACCCATGGAGCATAAACGGGACGCTACCGTGGCGGGCTTGGCTTGGCCTTCGAATCCTACCCGTGGACTCGCTCCTACTAACCCAGTTCAAGTACCAGACGCCCAGGCTTCTGCACTATGTCATTCTGGCCTTCCTGATCCTACTACTGACACCACTTCGGCACCTTTGGCGACTGACAGTACAGCTCCCGACCTTGGAACTACGGTCCATTCTGATACATATTCAGGCCTCGCACCTCCTGATGTCCCTTTTCCGACGGAGCCAAGTCTTGCATACCACTACTTACATCGTGCTTCCTTCTCATCCCGCGTGGTCCATCAGATCCAATTCAAGATCATTACCCACTCCAACAATACCAGGGAGTTATTCATCGAAGAGATTCCCATGTCAGGGCACTCCAAATGTCGGGACCCCGAGCACTACTTTTATGGTCTTTCGGGCAACTGGGAGTGGTCCCTGCGCACAGCGGATTATTGGCGACATCACTTTGAGATTCCTCTAGTTCATGGGCATCATCCTTTTCACAATGTTCCTATCGAGACCACTACACCTACGGAGGCAACCCGCCTCATCCCGAAGATCCAGGACCTGGCCAAACAACTTTCAACCACTTTGACGACCGCTATGGCATCTGGGGAAATCAACGAAACGTGGAGAATGGTTGAAGGCAGGAGCTTCCGTGAGGCGATCCAAATACTTCAACTTGAAGACAATTTCCCTGCTGAGTGACTGAACGCGGCTGTGTACATTAGCACCGGAAAAGCCTTTTGTATTTGAATCTGGCCGACATTTGCTGCGATGGTCTTCCAAAAATCAAACCCCGCTACATGCGGGGTGTGTGTGTGTGTGTAACATCTGAACAGATGTAAAACTTCTTTGGCTCTTACCGTTTTACATTTGCAGGGAACCTTTTTACATTTGCAGGGGGCCACGGCTCCATTCATCAGTCCGTGGCCAACGAAGCTACTGATGTTTGGAGAGGATATGCAGTCTGATCAACTGCACGTACCTGCTTTTTTCGGACATAGCAAGGGGCCAAGCTTAGAACCCCAACCACAATCTTATACAATCTGCTGCACTGTTGTCGCAATCTGGAATTACTTTTGGTCATTTACTATTGGTTCAGTTGCATCAGAACCTTCCTCAGAGCAAGGACGTAGAAAGCACCTTTGTATTATTTTGTTTACATGATCGCCGACAACATCGTCGCCGACGTTATTTATTGCCTAAGTTTCGCCGAGACATCGCCGATGGTATTATTACTGGTGTATTCATTCTTTTTGATGTCGATTCTGAACCCGATGACCATTCTGAAGTACTTCTATTATTCGTAGGATGCATCGTTAATTTCAGTGTTTCGTATCTAATCTGCATGTTTCAGGATTCAGTTCCTGCCGGATCATATAATGATCCATTCTTGTCTAGTGTGTGCGTGGACCATGAGCAACAAATGTTGTAGCGGGACGGGGAAGGAAGGAAAGACGAAGGAGGTGGTGAAGGATCGAGAAGATAAAACAGTTGTGTGGGACAAAGTTGTATGTGAAAGACCGTGTCTGACAAAGAAAGATGAAGTGTGAAAAGATGGTATGTATGTATGTCTGTATGTATGTCTGTATGTATGTAATGTTCTGCACTATGCAACCACAAATTTTGCGAACTCTTTCTGCATGCCCTGTGGCTGGTAATCATCCCTACGGCGCTACGGGGAAGGAAGGAAAGATAAAGGAGGTGGTGAAGGATCGAAGGTGTGATGAAGACGGAAAGGTACCTGTGGGGTTATCCGGTCCTTTAATTTTTTTTCCCTCCGCCGCTTTCAATAGGGGTTGAGTTTGACCCGACAGTTTCCCGGCTGCATCCTTAGCGAAACCTTCAATGCTAACGACTCAAGCAGATTGCGTCTGGCCTTGAGTTGATTTTACTCGAATAGCTCTCAAAAGACAACTCAAATCTTGCGCACCAGATCGAGTCATGTCTTCCGCTAAACCACCGCAGATTTACCGGACGAACCACCGTCCTGGCTAGGAGCATTTGACGTTTGCTTGATTCTTTTCAGCTTGAACAACTTAGTGAACTCATTGCATCTTCTTGGGCGGGGAAAAAATTGACTTCTGGCGAACCAGCTCAAGTGAGCACCCCGGCTTCTGCGCTGGCAGATGCACCTTAAAGCTCTGATCCATCCTTCGGTTCTGCAATGGGCCACGGTGATGAGCCATCACGTCATGCCAGCAAACATGACATCGAGCATGGCGATGTGGGTGCTGAAGCAAAGCGTTTGCACTTTTCTGGTTTTTGTGACGATTTGGCACATGGTGACACGGTTCCACAGACACCAATTGAGGTAGCTGACGGCGAAGTGGTCGACGACACACCACTTGAGCAAATGATGAGTCCAGCAAAGGCCAGCAGACGCGATGATTCTGGTGGTGTCAGCTTGCTCAATGCAATCCGCAACATTGAGCACTTGGACATTGAACCTGAAGTTCCTATACAATCCATGATGTGGATGTCTTGATCCAACATGAGCTGAACTTGGAGGAGGACCCTGACGAGGTCGAACTGGGTGTCAATGCAAGTCTCAAAGAGCTCTGCTTTCCATACTCAGCACAAGGGCCTGATCTTCCTCCAGAATGCAAGGACTTGATGCAATCGCTGATCAAGTGGAAATCCAGCGGTTGGTTGGATTTGAGGTTCTCAAGAGTGAGACTCTGCCACTGGACTGCAAAGCTTTGAGCACAAGGTTTGTGCAGACATGGAGAGAGAAAAAGAACCAAGCTGGTGAGGCAGTTTGGCTTCAGAGGAGCCGACTGTTTGCTTGAGAGTGCATGTGCATGGCTTCAACCAGACCGAGAATTGCAAGCAGAATTCTCTCTATCTGCTTCTTAACGCCAAGGCTGTATCATGGCTTCGGTCCAGCATCCTCAGGAGCAAGAATGGTGATTGCTATCTGCTGGTCCGCGTTGCTGTGATGAATGAGTTCGTGCCGTTGAAATCACTTCACGTCCTGGGGATGAAGTCACTTTCTTGAAAATGGCTCACGGGCTGCTGAAGATGGCAGAGCGGTGATTCGTGTTCACCAAAAACACTTGAATCAGTTGTGCAAACTGCTACACCTTGCAAAGAAATTTCAATGCAAGAAGATTCTCGACACAGTGAGATGGAAGTGCCAGACCAGTGAAAAGACTTTGGACACCAAGATGCGTCAGTGTATCGAACATGTCTGGGGATCTTGTTTCACTTGTCAGCTGTTTGAGCGGCGTTTGTAGAAACCCGTTTGAGTAGCGTGAGGAGATGGGCCAGATGCTGAACGATATCTCAGGCTTGTCGAGCGATGATGAATCGCCCCACTTTGAACATTGGTGGACACAGGTATGGATTCAACCACGGATTGGAGTCGCAGACCGCTATGGCCTTCATTCATGAAGTAGCTGCAACGCAACTCCGGGTGCGATGGCAGCACAGTGGGACAAGATGCCAGGGGTGATTCCCAAACTTCATCACAAGTGTGCTCACGGTATGGACTTTGATCTTGGGAGTTTACCAACACATGGTGGTGGCTCAGCCGACCGACTAAGCTCAACTGTGTCCGTGCCTAGCTCTAAAGGGATCCTGAAGGACCTCCTCCATTACATGGATTGTCGCTTTTGACTCTGGAGCGTGTCTGTGGAAGATTTGACAGGGCCAAACAGGGCAGCAACCATGGGAAGATTTGGAGGTTTATGCAGAGCAGAACATGGGTGTTAGCTGCATCGCCCATGTCGCCGAGAGCACAGAGGGAGAGAAAGCAAGGATCACCGAGATCTTCCAAGGCACCAGCAACGAGATGAGCGAAGATGATGCTTCACCGAGCCATGAGTTTGATGAGTTCATGAAAGCTGCGGTGATTGAAGGGTGCAATGGCATCGTGCTTGCCGGGGCATGACACTTACGAGTCCAACTGTGATGTCATGAGGTTGCTTGGAGAAACCATGCGTGACAAACGTCCCACCAAAGCAAAGCTCCGAGGACGACAGCAAGCGGGAGACCACCCCACAGGCCTCACAGGAGGAGGTACAACAATTGTGGCCAGTCTGATGCCTCCGACCCTGGTTGCTGGGCAGTGGTTCACTATGGTTCTGGGTCGCACGCCACCTGGTGATGATGAGATGGTTGGTGGCTCGATGGAATCTGATAATCGGAGCGCGGGATTGGTACCACAAGATGTTGGTCAGTAGCTGGATAGGCATACGCATACGCCAGCTGCTTGCCCAGTGCCGATGCTTTTTCACAGATTTTTTTCACCCAATAGGTGACTCCAAGAAAACCAAAGAGGCGGTCGGACCAGAGACCTGCGGAGTCATGTGCTTTAGATGACACAAGGCTGAAAGCCAGCGTCAAGGTGGGGTGAAACACAATTTCCGCGTTTGCAGCTGGTGCATACTACATGTCAGTCATGCCTGTTGCGCGCAAAGACAGGACAAATCGACAAGTGTACATGAGGATCCACTCTGAGGCGCTTTTGGTTTCAGAAAAATTTGCAAAAATAATTTGTGCCTGTGGTGTTTAATTTTGTGGGGGAATTTGGCAAGTTATATAATCCAGTGCAACACGGGTTGAATGCAATTTATTCGAAATTTTGACATGGTGGTTGGCCTTGTTGACGTCCTACATGTGTGTGATAGGGAAACACGTGTCAAATTTTCCATGGTGTTGGCATATTTGAAAACGTTGAAGGATGATTGGCATGCCATGGTCTGATATGTTTTGGTTTGGATTTTTTAACACCACTTGCCGTACCGCTACCTCCAATGCGACCACAGCAACAACACTCTAACTTCAAACAGGATCGTTTTGGAAAAATCAACGTTGGTGAAACATTGTGGCGCTGAAAACCTTATCTATGAATTTGGTTGGTCAGGCAATTTAAACGCGAAAGTGAAGGTGGAACAATGATGTATCACGTGCAGACCGTACATCGCCCTGAACATGGAAATTGATACCCCATGTTACCCTCGAAAACGCATCCCTTATCGGCACTAACAGTATTCCGCAAAAGGTTTTTGTCCAAACAGAGTCCAATTGCATAAGCATGAATTCGACCCCGCTTGTTCCATATGTGCCGAACGTGCTGAACAAGATGCGAAGATGAGGGTGGTTACAGCACGAAAACAATCCTGAAGTGAACTGCAACTTTTCAAGAATTCATTTTTACAAAACCAAAGGACCAACGACTAAACAAACTGGTGATGAAATCACTTGGCAAAACATTGTGATGTGAGCGAACCATAACAAAGATCGTTCGGGTTTGCTGGCATAAACAAATTCTTTGCCCATTGCATATGATCTCGGACGTCACATTGTTCGCTGGTAGGCCTCAGCGTCCTAACCATTTTTGTTCGTGTTTGGGGTCCAACATTTCTTTCAACAAGACTGGCGGTTAGTTCGCGTCATGGTTGTAAATCATCTACTCCAACCGGCGTTCGGCATGACAGGAATGCTGTGTTGCCGGTTTAAACAACACGTATATAAACATAAATTTTCACACAGTCCACCATCAACCTATGCCGTTAGGTCACTGAAAATCTGCACATCAAGAATAGAAGTACGATCACTGCGATCACCATGTACTGTATTTGTTAAATTTGGATAAGTTTGCTAGAAATTGTTGGAGATCGATCGGATTGCACAAGGAATTCGCTCGAAAAACTTGACGTCATTCGTTCAAATGATGCGAGTGGGAGATTGCAGAGGCCGACCTTTTGCAAACGTGAACGCGAAAATTGGGGTAGCTGAAGCAAAGAATTTGGCAACAATTTTTCACGAAACGCCATGGACCAGGGTGACCTACGGGATTTGACGGTGTTAAAAATTTCCATTGCCTACAAAAATGCCAAGGGTTACGGTTATTGTTTTAACAAATTCTAGAGCACGTCGTCACGATGTCCGCAGGAACGATTACAAATATTTTTTTTTGAGAATCAAACGGCGCCCTTGTTGGTTGCAGCACCTGTGTTGGCGTTGGCATTTGCCTATCCATTTTTTTTCAATCCATGACAGGGATTTTCACTATTCGTGTTCTGTTATTGCAATTCTTTCATGCCTGGATCTTGCACAATTGTGGTGCCCAGATATCACTTGATGAAACACTTTTGACAGCCGAACTGCTAAAATATTTTCTTCATGAGGCTTGCGTGGGATGGTCCAGCTCAATTTCTGCAATTGAAACGTGTTTTTTTCTGGATGTTGCCCACCACATTGGAAACATTGCAGACCAAGGCGTTCAAACCAATTCGGAAGATCTTTTTGCAACACAAAACGCGTTCTACTGTACCGAGTGGCCATTTCACTTAAAGAGAGAAGAACCCACCCCCAACGGTACCGAGTGGCGGAAATTTAATTAACATATTTAAACAGACAATTCGGCGTTCATAACTACAGGCGCGCAAGCGACATGATGGAAATCGACCAACCCGAAAAACAACACCCAGTATCCGGACCGGTGCCTGTACCGTACCTGTACCGAACCATCGCTCCATATGTTTGCGCCCGGTGACCGCGCCCTCGTTGAAAAGATGCCCACTTTTAAAATAGAGCATGGCTACTTGGAAAAAATAAATAACCCTAAAAGTCCTAAGGCCGTACTTTCTGAGTCCTTGCCGAAAGTGGCACAAAAAAGGATCATCGCCGAGAAACCATAGCAATGCCGAGGTTCTACGGCCGAGAGTTTATAGCAATGTTGTTGGATTCCACGGCCGAGGTTTTTTAGCAATGTCATGGGTTCTACGGCCGAGGGTTTTCAGCAATATTCACTCGCGATTCACTCACGATTTCTCACGATTTTAGAGCCGCTATATGTACCTTTTATGGCCTTATGGACGTACTTTTTGAGGTCCTACTCACGAAAACTCACGAAAACTCACGATTTTTCACGATTAAGGATACTATATAGCAACATTCCTTTTTAGGTCTAGGACGTCAAAAGGTACATCAACAGGATGTTTATGCCAACGTTCCTTTTTAGGTCTAGGACTTCAAAAACTACATCAACAGGATGTTAATAGCAATGTTGTTTTTTAGGTCTAAGACCTCAAAAGGTACATCATGAGGATTTTGCATGGGCGTACTTTTTTGACCCACTTTGTACGGATTTTCATAAGGACGTTCTTTTTGAGGTCCTGGACTTCCAGGGTAGTGGGAATTGGCATTTTTGCGGGAAATGGTTGGAACTGGTTGCTGGAAACCAAGGGTCGTTACAGAAACCCTGAAATCATTCTCAAATTGTTGGATGTACGAATTGGATGTGACCCTATGGCTGTTACAAGGGGCACTGCGCGAAACCATTATCAATTTCTGAACGGAATTTACTGTGAACCAATCCATTCCATATCACCTGCCATACACTTGCATGTTTGCACGCTGCCAATTTGAGCCTTGTACATTTCCATGTGTGCAGTTAGCTGCAGTTTCATGCATTTGCAGTTTGAAACCCAGTTGTGACATATCAATCATGTACAATATGAAACCAGGTGCGTCCGAGGCGTTTTGGCACCCAGGAAAACAATCATGATAGCGGAGCCCAATGATCCAGTAGCTTCAGGGTTGCTGGTGAGGGCCCTAGGCTCTAGGTGTAGGAGGTGAGTTTAGGTAACGTTGCCATTAGATCCATGGCTTCACTGTCAGCTGATGATGTTTCAGCGCTTGTGCAAGCGGCTACAGATGCGGCTAAAGCCGCCAGTGATGCAGTGACTGCTTTGCGTGAAACTCAAGCGTCCAGAGCTAGTGGTGGTGGCTTCCAAGAGGCCAGCAAGGTTGTTAGACAGCCGGAACCATTTGGGAGTGAGAACCATAAGGATGACCTGTCAGAATGGCAGGATTTTAATGTCAACTTCAAGGCCTGGCTTTACTATGGCAATCCAAAGTTCGAGCTGGACCTGCACAGAGTTGAAGTTACACATGCTGACACTCCCATTGCAATGTTGATGGGGAGACGCAGGAGATCAAAGATAGATGTTCGCAGCGCTACAGTATCCTCACAGGATTGCTGAGAGGAAAACCGCTTACAGTGCTACGCCAAGTTGATGGAGGAAATGGATATGAAACATGGAGGCAACTCACCCAGATGTACTTGCCGAAAACCAAGAGCAGAGCGATTTCCCTGTTTTCTGCCCTGATGAATGTGCCCCGTTTCAGGATGAAAAACAAGACTCTTCTGGACCAAGTGTTGGGACTTGAGCACCTTCGTACAGAATACATGCGCTCCAGTGGAACCGACCTTCCTGACGATTTGATGTTGTCAGTGCTTGCGAAATGTTTGCCAAAGGCAATACAACAACACGTGCAGCTCCAGTTGACAGAGTCTGCCACGTACAGCCAGGTTCGAGCTATGGTCATTGGCTATGAACGCACGACGATGACATGGAGCCCTGGCAAAATCCGTTCAGAGTTGGGCATTTTATCCAACCGCAGTTTTTTTTTTTTCCTCCGCACCTTTTTCCGCATGAGGTCCAGCTCTCCCTGCTGACTGTTTTATACTGGCCAGTCTCCAGATATGCTTGAGGGAGGGCATAAATCCAAACCTTTTTGGGGACTTAAGTGCTTACTGTGGTGGGAGCCGGCTGGCTGGGGGGTTTGGGGGGGGTGCTTCCGCAAGAAGTTGGCTGAAAGTTGGTTCATTGCCTTCGGTGTTGGTGTGATTGGCGAGGGCTTGGGGGGTTTCAACCAGGGTTGCTGCAAAGGCTTGCTGGGCAGCATGTGTCAAAAGTGCTGACCATCTGGCTATCAGCGCTGTTGTGATGGAATGTTGGAGGATTGGCGGGGCTTGACGTGCTTTATGTTGTGCCAGGAGCTTGATGAAGGAGGTTGCCTCCTGGCTCCACCTGCCTCCCACTTCCAATCCTAAGACCACCAATTTGCAGCGTCGGCTGCGGAGAAGTTCTGGGTATGTTTGCTCTTTCCTGCGACGAGCATCCCGCAGAGCTGCCCCGGCGAAGGTCCCCCCCCGTTGCCTTGGCACCCCTTCTCGCGTCAGTGGTGATACGAGGGTCGTATCCACTGCGAGTTGGTTTCCCCCCCACAAGGGCAGGCCATTGGCTATGACCTCGATCCTTCTGTCATCTTGGCGGTCGAGGTGTTCGAGGTTGAGGTCGACCAGGCGGGTGTTTGTTGTTACCCGTGCCCCCGCTTCCCTGCATATGCGGGCTGCTGCCCGTTCCAGGGCCGCCCCCCCGTGCTCGCAAAAGTCCAGACTGCGCACAAGCCGCGCGGTGGTCGCCAAGAGGGTCTAGAGCGCGACGGCGCCGGCAGAAGCGGGCAGATAAGGGCAGTGGCAATCGGAGGCGCCGCAAGAGAAGCAGGCGGAAAAGTGGCTCGGGTAGCTGTTGTCTTTCAACCTTGCTGAAAGAGGGATGGCTTTTGCAGAAATACCAGGACGGGTCTGTGGCCCTTGTGCGCAACTCCAAGTCCATGCCTGTTCACTTCAAACGCAATTCACTTTGTGCAACTGGAGTCATTCAAATGCTCAGTTTTCCTGATGATCCAGCTTCTTCATCAACTCCAGGTCGTTGCTGACAAGTTGAACATGTTCGAGCTTTGAGTTTAGGCCGCGCTCTCACAGGACTGGGTTCAGGTTGGGTGAAACTGAGTGACACCATGTTTGCAGTCAGAAACCAAGGGAATCAACATGTTGACACAACATTGTGCCCAAGTGGTGGTTTACTTTGGCTGCGCACCACGTTGATACAACTTCCCAACGGCACTTGGGAGGTGGATGCGTTTTGTGTTAGCATCTCAGACTTGAGAACGATGACAGCCCCTTTTGAGGCCAGCAAGAATGTTGTAGAAGTAATCACAATAGCACATACCACAATGGGCCCCCCGGCATTCCTCTTCGTGTTCAGCCTCATGCTTCAAGGCCGGACCCTGAGCAGCCTGAAGAAATTCCAGCTGCTGTTGATGATGCTGACTTGGCGTGCATTCACCCCATGTAGGTGGCCGCGTGCTTCCAAACCTTCGTTGTGTCGACCCGGGCCCTCTCGTGACCAGCCCGCTGAGCCACTTGGCATCTGGAAAGGTGGTCTGCCGGGTTTGACTGAGCTGCCAGTTGCAGAGCGAGGCCCTGAGATTGAAGACTATGAAGTGATCGTAGATGGAGTGAAGTTGGACACAACTTCAACACTGAGGACTTTAAGAGCTGCTTGTGAAACTCTTGGTCTTCCTTCAAGTGGTGGTAAGAAAAAGTGCCTTAGCCATTTTTGGAGCCATCTGCAGGCGCAAGAGCTGATTGCTGCGCATGGACCGCAACAGCAACTTCGTGGAGAGTTTTCTAGGCCTGCAAATGCCCAGTTTGTCGCTGATGCACCAACAGAGAAGGAAATTGCGGAACACAACCTCACACACCAGCCATGTCCACCGTGGTGTGAACTTTGCATCTCAAACCGTTCTCAACAGGATCCACATCCAGTTCGACGTGATGAAAACTCAAGCGCGCATAGCACAGTCAGTTTTGATTTTGGGTTTGCATCTAGGACGGAAGATGAGCACAAGGCTTCTGGACTTTTCATCCGCGACCAGCAAACCGGTGCTATGCATGTTGTGCCAACCCCTCAGAAAGGTGGTCGACACCTGCAATATTTGTGCCCAGGGTTTTGTAGGTTTTTAGTTTGGCTTGGGTATAGCACGGTTGGATTGAGATGTGATCAAAAACCAGCAACGCTCTCCCTTTTGGAGGCTCGGACGAAGACTTGCAGGGGTCTTGGTATTCGAGTGATGGAGGAAACGGTGGCCCCAGGCTCTCATGCCAGTAATGGTGCTGCTGAAGTGACTGTGAAGGTTTTGCGGCGTCACGCCAACCTACTTGTGCAACAAATCGAGAAGGGCTGTGGTATTGGTGATGTCATTGGATGCCATCATCCCTTGTATCAATGGGCCCTGCTGCACAGTGCATGGCTTCACAACCGTTTTGTCGTGAGGCATGGAAAGACAGCTTACGAACTTTGCGCCAGCAGACAGTACACAGGCCGCCTTGCAATGTTTGGAGAGAGAACATATAAGGCTTTCGACAAAGGGATCACCAACATGGACTAGAGGAATCTGGTTGGGGAAAACTATGAGCAATGATGTTCACATCTTAGCTGTTCCAGGTCACCCGCAACTGTTTGTCACCAGGAGCGTTCGAAGACTTCCCAATGCTTGGGATACGCAGATGATCGCAGACATGGAGGCTTGTCCTTGGCAATTTGGATATGCTTCACTGGGATCTCAGTTGGTTTTAGCAAAACGCATTGCTGCGCCTCCAATTTTGTCATTGCCCCCCAGCCAAGCCACATGATTTGGATGCGGAGGCCGTGATGAATGTTCCACCGACACCCGACGAAAGTGCCAGTGCTGCCCTTAGATCTCCAAGGATGGTTGGACCACCCGCAAACAGTGCACCAGTTCCTTCGGGTGCTGAGTTAGATAAGACTATGGGAACATTGGCTGAGGCGGGGTCTCTTCTTGATCAAGTTGGACTTGATGCACCTAGTACTCCAGCTGTTGAACCTGCTCCAGTGACTCCTCCTGAGTTTTCTCCCCCTCCAAGTGTAAATCCCTTTTCAGGGTATGCTGATGCTGCAATGCCAATGACAACTCTTGGCGTTGGCCATGAACGTGATGCTGACGATGATGGTGGAAATAGGCCAGCCAAGCATCGACGTATTTTTGCAGTACATGAACATGAAGATGATCTCTACGCCACATATCTTGAGGAATCTGAAGTTGATGGTTTGGAGGTTTATGATTTCAGCCTTGACTACGAGCGTGACGAGGACGCAAACTCTCCCACTCACAACTCTGCAGTTTCTTGTGATGAAATGTTGAAGCAACTCACCATTCCTTTTACAGCTCTTGAACCTGATCTTCCAGCTGCTGAACTTTTGAGACTTGACATGATAGCAGATGAGTTAGAGATCAAGAGACTGAGGAACATGGGAGTTTTGATCCCTGCGGAGAACTATGACTTTGATGGCAAGGTTCCCAAACGTTTGACAACACGGATGGTGCGTGCATGGGGTGACAAATTCATAGATGGTGTGCATGTGTGGTTACGCCGCTCAAGATATGTGGCCCGGGAGTTTGCATGGTTTACGCCAGACAGGCAGGATTTGTTCAGTCCTGCGAACTCAGTGCTGCGGGTGAGGCTCCTTCCAACTTTGTTTATGAAATGGAAATCTGATGGATATGTTTTGAGTGCCATCGACATCGACATAGCTGATGTTTTTCTTATGGTACCTCAACGTGAGCTCACCGTTGTCACGTGTGAACTAGCTGCAGGAGACACCATGAACTTTGTTTTGGGCAAGGTGCTTCCAGGTCAAAGAGATGGAGCGCAGTTGTGGCATGAGTCTTTCAGTGCTTTCCTGAGAGACGAGCGTCAAATTTGTGAATTTCCAGCGTATCCAAGTTTGCTCAAGACCAAAGGCGATGAGTGCCTTTTGCTTTTACATGTGGATGATGTCCTGTGCTTGACCAGAAAGAATTACCTGGATGAGACTTTGATGCCTGCCCCCAAGACAAAGTACAAAGTAGCATGTGAAACGATCTCTAAGGTTGGAGACGAGCTGACATTCCTGAAGCGACACCATGTGATGGTCTCTGAGGATGAGATGGCCATACAGTCTCATCCGAAGCATCTCGAGCGTTTGTTTGACCTTTTGTGCATCAACTGCAAGTTGAAGCCAAAGCGCACCCCAGGACATCCCATGTTGGATGAATCTGATGACAGCGCTGCGCTTTCCCTTGCCGATGCTTCAGTATATAGATCATGCATTGGTGTGCTTCTTTATATATCAGGTGACTATGTTGAATGTCAGTATGCTATCAGGGGTTTTTCACAGTCAATGGCAAAACTAACCACTCAGTCGATGATGTGCCTTCGACACCTGGCACAATACCCTCTTGGTTGCATAGACCATGCTTTGGTGCTGCGGTATGAGCCTCATCAAGGGCTTGTGCATTACAACCCATGTGACTACACTCTTGAGATCTACAGTGATTCAGATTGGGCGAAACACAAACAAACACGTCGGTCAGTTTCTTCTGGTTATCTGTTTTTGTTTGGTTGCCTTCTTTACAGCACTTCGAGGTCTCAACGTGTATTAGCTATGAGTTCTGCCGAGGCTGAGATCTATTCAGCTACTTCTGCCACCAGTGATGCTGTTTTGATGTTTCACCGCATCAAGTTTGCAGTGGGTGAAGGTACAACTATAGAGGTGTGCTGGCGATGGACAACTCTGCTGGACGATCCTTCTTTGGAAGGATTGGTGTTGGGCGAATCAGGCACATCAGTTTACGTGTTTTATGGGTACAAGCAAAAGTCAAAGAAGGTTTCATGCAACTAGGAAAAGTGTCCAAGGACAACGTTTCTGACTTAGGAACAAAGAGATTGAGTAGAGACAGAATGGAATACCTCATGTTTCTTTGCAAAGTTTACAACATGGCTGAGTCACAGATGGTTGGCTCCAGCCTAGCGGACAAAATAGAAGAGCAAAATGCAATGAGGGTTGGTATCAAGATGTTCAAACAGGTTGGAATGAGTAGTGCCACTTCCAAATCACTCATGCGTGTAGTGTTGCTGAACGCCTTGAGATTGGGTGTGGCTATGGGCTCCAAAACGATGGGATCTTCCTCTCTTCCTTCGAATGGCTTCGAGGTGCATGAGCTCTATAAGCTGCTGGTTGCATGCGCTTGCACCTTTCTCCTTATGCTGCTTGGATTACTATGGGTCACAGCTCACCATGGATCTCAGTTGCAACAGCGTCTCCACCGCCTTCGAGTGGATTTCAATTTGAAGAAAGTCTTGCAGATTTTGAAAAATGGCTGGAGAAAAAACAATGGAGAAGGAGGTGAAGAGGAACAAAGAGCAGAAGACCCTGTCGTCAATCCTGATAAGTGTGAGCCATCGGATGAACCAGAGTGCGAACGTGATAGATATGCAAGGTATCAGCAGAGCAGCCTTGAAGAAATTTCCGATGATGAATTCTGGAGGTACATTCACCATGGCAGACCCGATGATGATGAGGATGCCTCAGCCCATCGAACATACTCCGATGCACATATGGAGTCGGTGATGCGAGAGACCAATGGTCTTCTCAATGCTCGCATTCGACGTCTCCGAGGAGAATATGAAAATGCTGAGTTGTTGACTGACGTGATGGCCATGGACTCCATCAGTGACCAGATTCATGAAGCTGCTCATTTGCGTTGTAACATCTAGTGCTGCTGATGGACCTTTGCACTACGTTTGCACTGAGCTTGGACTACAAAGAGTTCTGAATGAATGAGCGTGAAAGGCATTTTGCCGGAATATCCTGGCCCTTAGCTTGTAGTGTTTGGATGAACACTTCCAGGATTCAGTTTGAGATTTGCAATTTGATGCCAAAGGCATAAAATTGAGGCGGGGTGAAGGGAATTTAGTCTGAACCAATCCATTCCATATCACCTGCCATACACTTGCATGTTTGCACAGCTGCCAATTTGAACCTTGTACATTTCCATTTGTGCAGTTAGTTGCAGTTTCATGCATTGGCAGTTTGAAACCCAGTTGTGACATATGAATCATGTACAGTATGAATCCAGGTACGTCCGAGGCGTTTTGGCACCGAGGAAAACAATCAATTTCTCAGGTGATTGATGCCGGCGTTGTTTTTTTTAGGCCAGCGGGCGGCCCTCCAAGCCATCCAGCAGCAGCTTCAACCCGATGAACTTTTGTTGGCCTACCTTGATGACATTTATGCCGTGGTCCCGCCCACCAGAGTTCGAGAAGTTTATGACCTCATGGCCCACGCGAGGAGCCGAAGAGAGGTGCTGCTGGAGCAATGTGACAGCTGGCTGAGAGATCCATGCACGCATGACGTTGTCAGATTTGGTTGATGGGCGTGAAGTTGACCCAGAGCAAGTTTAAAATTATCTTGTTGAGTATGGGAAGGAGCTTTTCTATGCTGGAAAGAGTCGCGGAAGATTTTCAGAAACAATAAATGGCATCAATGCAAGGCGCCCGGTCCTGCAGAGGCAACTTGCTGCCGCCTGGAACCTGGCCTTTGCTTGGGTTGCTGATGAACCTCATTTTCACCACCTGCGATGCCATTGGCAATTCTGATTTTTTTAACAACCTTGTCACTGCTTTTAAACTGGCCAGAGAAGCCTCTTTGCTGCTCATGGCCTGGAGCGGTTTGCTTCGGATCGGGGAAGTTTTTGCAGCACAAAGGAGAGACCGACTAGTGCTGCCCACAGACGGAGCACCCGGCTGTGACTTCGCATTGCTTCAAATCAATCAGCCAAAAACCCGCGGGGTTTCAGCGAAGCATCAAGCTGCACGCATCGACCCGCAGGACGTTGTGCAGCTACTTTCAGCAATTTTTTGATGTTTCGCGCTGGATGATTACCTCTGGAATATAAGTCACGTGGCGCTTTCAGGCGAAGGTTTGGGCTGCTACAGCAAGCACTTGGCCTGCCGACAGTGCGTACGGTTAGCCAAGTTCCGTACGACTTGGCGTTGCTCCGTCCCGGAGGAGCCACGTATCTGCTGCACCAGTTTGAGGATGCGGAGCTAGTGCGGCGTCGCGGCAGGTGGCTGAGCACCAGGGTTTTTGAGATCTATTTGCAGGAGGCGGCAGTCATCACTCACACTGCTCGACTGTCCCCACTGGTTCAACAGAAGATTTCACAGCTCGTTGCCATCTACCCAGAGGTTCACCAGAAAGTCACCAGAAAGCAATTTTCTTTTTGAGAAACTCCATCCCTCCTGCTGCATGGCCAAAACTGTGGTGACCGACTTGAGTGGAAAGGTGGATGGAAAGACGGGATCAGGCCTAGCATGGGCCATTTGCCAAAGAATTTTTGGCTAGAGAAGACTCTGCCCCTGGATGAAAACAAGAGAGTTGAAGTCTTAAATAACATCCTGGGTGCGGAATTCCTAAAAGAGTGACCGGGACATATAGTGCTGGACCAGTGCAAACCAGCCGGTGGAATTCCACTGAGTGGAACCCCGTTCGATATTTTCATTGTTTTTCAAAAAAAATATTCGGCATGCATCTGCTGGATTGTTGAGGCAGGTGGGCTTCGTACTAATTTATTTGCCAGACCCTCTAACTATATTCTGAAAGTGAAATGGGCGCCGGTTGAAAATTTAAGTTCTTAGTGCTTGAGGTGGACACCCCATAAACTTTATTGGTCCTCTGGTGCTCAATAGGGTGGGCGCCCTAGAGTATTTGCAGAAAGTGACGCCCCGTAGGGGATGTTTAAGCGTCACTGGGAATCGCTGAGGATTTCTGGGCACCGTGGGGAATCCCTAGAGAGCCTTCGGCATATCTGAGAAAACGCCTTCCAGGACCAGCATGTCGCACGTGCAAAGTTCAAAATCGATGTTTCTTGAAGATAGGTCCCCGAGGTTTTTTTTTTCAGTTCAGCGGAAGTACTTTGCTTTCAAAATTTTGCACCCGTGGGTGGTCCTTCACGTGAGATCGCCACTGCCAGCTTCAAATGTAAACCTAAAGTTCTCAACTGCGAGCTCCGGATCAGGGTGTTTCCCGGCCGGACCTCAACTACAAAAACAAAATCCGAAGATATACCAGATAGAATGCCAGACAAGAACGTCAGAATAGATGCCAGATGGATTGCCGGAATAGAATGCCAGATAGCATGCCAGAACATATGGCAGAACATATGGCAAAAAAAACGCCAGATTAGATGCCAGAGAAAATGTCAGTATAGATGTCGGATAGGATGTCAGAATAGATGCCAAATAGAATGCTAGATAGAATGCCAAAAAATTAGACCATATATAGTTCCAGATGATATGTTAGAGACTTTGACAAATAAGTGTCGGGGTGGGGATCACTCGAAGAAAAAAAGGATACATTTTTCCTCTTGAAAAATTGGATTTTAAAAAGCACACACAATAGAGGCCCATCCCCCAATTTGAAGTTATTGATTTATTTACGAAAATTTGCTCACAACAGGATGTCATGACACTAATCGGCATACTACATTAATGGCAACGTTGTAAAACTTCTAGGTTTTAGACCGGCAAATGTGCACTGATTGGGATGTTTCAGCCAAAACATAGGATGCGAAGCACACCAAGAAACATGTGCATTTAAAAAACAATTTCAAATTGGTCACGCGCAGCGCAACAGGGTCAATGTTCAACATGTCTTGGCTCGGGGTCCTTTAGTTGTTTTCTCCGCCCATGTTATTGGTCATGCATGGCCCTTCCCAGTTTACAATCGTTTTATGTCAAAAGAGTGAACAATTTCATTGGAACTAGTGACCAGTGCGTGTGCTGTGTGTGTCGAGTATTGTCGAATGCTTCCATATCAATACGGTGCCGTGGATGGGCTGCTGCGCTCGAAAACTTGCTTGGCTGTTCTTGGGCAAGGACTTGGCGTCCAGATCCTTGATCGCAATGCAAGTGCAGAAATCCCCAGCAGCAACCACCTTGAATAGTCCCCCAGATGTAATGAAGTTATGGTGCCAGAAATTGTTGTCGGAAACTGGGCGAAAGAAAAGCAACGATAAATCAAAATAGTTCAACCCAACATGATAATCTCAAGTCACGAGGTGCCCCAAGTTTCCAATTGCCTCATTGTCTGGCCTGGAATTGTTGATTGGAAGCGATGCTTTGAGGAAAATTGTTTTGGAAAGTTTGCGTCGAGCATTGGCCGCGGGCCACACTGATGGCCAGCACGCCCAGCGCTTGATTTTCCTCCTGAACACATCCCAGGCACAGACATTTGAGGAAACAACATAAATCCTGACATAATGTCTTGACGAACAGACTTGACAATCGGGACACAAACAGAGTTGTTTCCATGATTTGAGCTGCCAAACTCAACAATTTTCCATAAGATTGGTTTGAACAAAATGTGAGGAACCTCTCTTTGTTGGACGCTCTGGATGCTCCCAGTCCTCGAACACAGAGTTGTTTTGGCAGGAGGAGGCTGAACTGTTGGCCAAGCGCGCTTCTGAAGACCCAAATTGGACAGGCAGCGATTTGAGCGCACACTTTGAGCACAACATGTTTGTGTCATTAGTGATTTTGGGATGAGGTGAGTTACTGCATTTCGCCCAACATATTTCAAACCAGATCGGGATTCCTCTTTTCTTCGATTGCACAAAAAATATGCAACATAACCAGGGCAACTGACCCGAGTGACTTTGAAGGGGCTGTCAACATTCAAATGGTTTTCCCATTTTCCCTACCCTTGGTGGAGGCCTTCGCTCTTGTTTGTCTGTCATTGGGCCAGATTTCAGCGTGGATGATCGGGCAGCAGCTTTCTCACGAGGAGGTGCTTTCATTGCGAATGCACGTTTGTTGGTACCAGATATGCTTTCAGGAAGGTTAGTTCCCGGTACAATTGATGGGATTTTTGTGAATCACGTCCACGGGGTTGGTGAACTCTCTGCGGATGCGTTTGTTCTACGGTTGTTCCGCTTGAGCAATACCCGTGGCTTCATCCGAGCAGTCTCGGACGTGCCTGATGCCTTCAGCCGTGTGCAAGTGGAGAAGGTGATGCAGCGTTGCTTTTTGAATGACATGGAAGTGTGGCCCAGAATCCGAAAGGAAGTGCAGGAGACTCTGAAACAAGGCAGACAACCTGAAGTAGTCCAGATCAAATTGGAACTTCCTCCGCAGATGTTGGAAATTCAGCGTTACATTTTGAACATCCTCCAGTCCACCTTGGGTGAATTGAAGAAAGATCCTAATTTGGATTTGAGCCATTTGGATCTGAAAGACTCCGTCTCGGCCGCTTTTGATGTCGATCTGCGGCAGGTGTTGGACCCGGCCTGGCAGAATTTGGGTCCCGTGGCCCGGCGCTTGGTGAACGATTTAACCGGTCTCCGACGGCTGCTGAAGGAGATGCTGCGTGGCGATGCGGTGGATTTCCTGCGGTTGCTGGACAGCCTCTGCAAAGAAGCCCAAAGTGCCCCTGCCTGGCTGTATAGCCCAGATGCTCAGGTGGTGTTGAGGTTAGCCAAGGAGAGAGTTTATGAGATTTGCAAAGGCCCACCTTTGGAGCACAATGGTCAGATGGGTCAGATGGGTCAGATGGGTCAGATGGGTCAGATGCCGGTTCTGCAAAGGAAGTTAGAACCCCATGCCAAGTGGGCGAAAATCTTGGATGCCATCGACCGGACGATCTCTCATGTGGCAGAGGCGGAGCAGCTTTGTGACAGTAATGCCCTTTCAGTTGATGAGCCAGCAGTTGAGAGCAGGTGTCCAGTTGTTGATGGTTCCGATAGCGATCTTGAGATCGTTGGTATCAAACACGTGGCCAAGAAACAGCGAACACAAAAACATGCCAACAATGGAGGGGTGGTAGAGCCTCGCATTCTCATCATTGCCCCTGACGACCGTTCGCGACGTCAGTTGTCCACCTTTCTGCACCGTGGCAGTGAGGCCACGTTGCTAGACAACTTGGGTTCTTACTTCAAGGAACGCGGCGCACGACTGCGGGGCGACCGGGGCGACTGGGGCGACCGGAGCGCACAGATGATGAACACACAACCGCAACCACGTGAAGGAGCCCTGTTGGCAAAGGAAGCGGAAGCTGTAGCCAGGGAACTGGAAGAAATTCGACCGGATGCTGGTGCTTTAGGCCTCAGGCAGCTGAAAGATGGACGGCCCTGTCATCCCAGAATTGATGTGGTGGTGGAAGAGACGGAGGGTCAACTGGAGCTGCGAATGGAAGAAATCAAACCACATGCTGTGATTGTTTTTGAGCCTACTCTGCAAGCCATTCGCACGGTAGAGGTGTACAATGCTACTGTGCACAATCAAACATCTTTCAGAAACATCAAGCTGGAAGTTGATGTTGATGCTCCAGATGCTCCAGCTCCAGCTCCAGTAGCTCCTCTCTATGTTTATCTATTATCTTTTGAAGATTCCATTGAGAAATATCGATATCAGCAGAATCTCTTGACCGAAAGCCAGGCAGTAGATGCCATCATCCGCTTCCGTCAGCACATGACCTGGCGTGTGGATCTGCCTACTGAAGTGGCACCTGAGTCATCGCGCAGGGGGGGTGGAGCACGAGCGCAAGTCATGAAGCCGCAGGTGGTGGTGGATATGCACCTGGTCTAGCCTGGCCTTTTCGACATATGTAGCCAAATAGATTGAACAATTGGACACCTGGATATTATATATATATGATATAATATAATATCTCGGAAAGACTTTTCTATGGTTTTGGGGGTCTCTATATGCAATACATTTCATGCATGTTTTCCGGTGTGTTTAACTTTGTGAAGGGGGAAAGCGCACGATTTGTGCTGAAACTGGCCACCATTTTTGGTTTGAGCTTAGCGGGCTAATTCTACAAAACCTGATTCTTCCAATTTATGATGTGTTTTGATGTGTGTTTCACTCCTTGATTCAAATGCAAAGAGCTGAGGCGTGAATTTCGGTCAACATTGCCTTTCATGCTGCACTTGAAGGGTCTTGTGGTTGAGCCAGCATCTTGGCTCTCGAGTGATGCCATAGAGTGGCGGCACCAAGGGTACATAATGGTATATAGTATAATATGTAATTGTAATTTTTGTTGACACTATTGAGCTTGCTGGGATGCTTTTGATTCAGAAAATGCAACAAAAAAAAGGTACTCTCCCAAATTCAGCAGTAGTCTAAAGGATGTTCACTGCCTGTCCTCCATTGTGAGATGTTGTGATTGCAATTTGTATAGTGCCTGCTACTGCTCAGGTAACGATTCCAGTGGGTGACTATGTGCTATCCCGGGACGTGTGCGTGGAACGCAAGGCCATCATCGATTTGGTGCAATCTTTGGGCAGTGGAAGGCTCTACCAACAGGCCCAAAACATGTGCCTTCACTACAGCAACCCGTTGTTGCTGATTGAGTTTGATCCTGCCAAAGGCTTTGTGCTGCAAAGTAGCTATGCCATCGCCCGGCGAGAGATCGAAGTTGGCACCAAGGATTTGCTGGGCAAACTGTCGCTGTTGGTGCTGCACTTCCCAAAGCTGCGCTTGATGTGGAGCCCATCTCCTCGATTCACGGCGGACATTTTCATGAAGCTAAAGGACAGGGTTTCAGGCTCGTTACATCTCGTTACATCCAACTGTGTGGCTCCCTTTAACCATGCCCATGTATATGTATATGTATATGTATATGATTATATATGTATGTAATGTATGTATGTATGTAATGTAATGTAATGTAATGTAATGTAATGTAATGTAATGTAATGTAATGTAATGTATGTATGTATGTATGTATGTATGTATGTATATATGTAATGTAATGTTATGTAATGTTATGTTATGTAATGTTATGTAATGTTATGTAATGTTATGTAATGCTTTGAAATGCTATGTAATGCTATGTAATGCTTTGTAATGCAATGTTATGTTATGTTATGTTATGTAATGTTATGTAATGTTATGTAATGTTATGTAATGTTATGTTATTTAATGTTATGTAATGTTATGTAATGTTATGTAATGTTATGTAATGTTTTGTAGTGTTATGTAATGTTATGTAATGTTATGTAATGTTATGTAATGTTATGTAATGTTATGTTATGTAATGCAATGTAATGTAATGTAATGTTATGCAATGTTATGTAATTGTTTTGTAATGTTATGTAATGTTATGTTATTTAATGTTATGTAATGTTATGTAATGTGATGTAATGTGATGTGGTGTGATCTGATGTTATGTTATGTTATGTTTTGTGATGTTATGTAATGCAATGTAATGTTATGTAATGTAATGTAATGTTATGTTATGTAATGTTATGTTATGTTATGTATCATGTATGTATGCATGTATGTAGGCATGTATGTATGTATGTAAATAAATAAATTAAATATATAAATTAAATAAATAAATAAATAAATAAATAAATATATATATATATATATTAAAAAATGCATACGTCAATTGCACTAATCTTCATTAAACAATGCTTTTCGGCCTTCTGGCCTTGAGTCCTGAAGGAGGGTCGTTACCAGCCCGATCCCAGGGCTGCGGCACAAATCGATGCGGAAGACGCCGATGCGGAGGAACTCCAAGGTTCTGGTCGCGTGCGCTCCAACTCCGCTGCTTTCGAGATGCTCCGGAAACTGCCAGGGATTACACCCAAAAATATGCATAGTTTGGCGCGGAAGGCAGGGACTTTAGCTGGCATCTTGGATTTGTCTTTGGAGACCTTGGGTGAAGTCATGGGAAATTCCAATGCCGAACAGCTTCACCAGTTCCTGCATGCAAATAGCCTTAGCAACGTTCCGGCCACACAAGATCGGGGACAAGAGATGCCGGAGGCTGATGCGCTGGAAACCTAGGTCCAGAGTGGCCAGAGGATCTATTGACATTGAAACCTTCGAGAACTTCTTCATTCATGTAGATCCATAGAGATGCATCGATTTGCCAGGAGGAAGAAACGGTTGCAAGATGTTGCAAGCGGGGACCGCTGGACCAAGAGCGACACTGCCACGCCACAACACCAGGAACAATCTCGGCCCAAAGAGGTGCTGAAACGACAGGACCAGCTCGGACAGGCTGGGAAGAGAAAGCACTTCGATGGTTCGGAGTGGAAAAAGAAGTGTAGCAATTTCACAAAGTGTGGCAAACCCAATGAACAACTTTCCAGGTACAATCAAACACTGTTGCTGGCCTTCATACTGCAAACTAGTGAAGGCTTGGAGGTCTCATTTCAGCGTGCATGCCGCAGCCAACTCAGAATTGGGTGCTACATTGCAGGCATGAACACCACACTACTTTTCCAATGTAAACCGTGCTCATCAGGACCGACTGGACATGAAAACCTTAGCAACTATTCACCAGGAACTGCTGACAGGCCGAGTTTGCAGGTAGAACTTGCATCCATAAGCAAGCAGCGGACTGCAGTAGTGATTGGGCACAAAGTGTTTAAGCCATTCCCAGCATTGACACCTCAGTGGGTGCAATTTGGCGCATACTTCTTCCGGGCCATTGCAGGGTCCGGGGCTCCGCTGCGCGGCTGCACGGCTAATTCCTCTTGGTATCAGAAGTTGATTCCTCAGGTGGCGTTTAATGATGTGTAAGTACATCAATCACTAATTCAATCGAATTCATACCATAATTTAATGGGTATGTCATGTCTCAAAATGGTTGATGACTCCCATAGCTGGATGGCCCCGGTTGCTTTCCGCATGACTTCACCTATTTCTGGGGTCAACAAAAAACACCAAGTACTTGGAAGACAATCGCAGCTAGAAAGCGGCCAACGACCGTAGGATTTGCACCGGATTAAAGGGGGTTTCCCATTTACACGCTGACTATGTCACTATCGTTCCTTGCCACTTACATCCACTTAACAACTATATAGTATGATTTTCCAAGCGAGCAGCTTTCGAAAGCTCTTTTGGATTTATGGATTGGTTCTGCTGATTCCCTGTAAAACAGCAGTTGAACCCCAATCAACCGGGGTCACATCATGTTACATCCTCCATTTTTGGCTCTCAATTTGTCTTGATCTGTCCATTTCCCAATGGTTATGCAGTGGATGTATATACTTGTATGTATATTGTATATACATGTATGTATACACACACACAGTACACCACTATGTACCCATCAGCCAGTCCGTCCTTCCGCTCTGAGGTCTTTGGATGGCGTTCTGTCCTTCTTCGAACAGGAGTCCTTTGCTTTTAGTCGGATGTTGACTTCCAATTTTTTGCCTCGGCCTCAGTTTTTGTCCAGGAAATCCATCGAGAGACTGTTATATATATATAATATTGCTGGTCTTTTAAAGAAATCCCCTGTGATTTCGATTTGATTTTTCTGATTTTGCCTTTCAGTTTCAGCTTGGTCTCAGGGAGATCGACAGTTTTGTCATTTGTGCCTCGCCTGGTGACGAGCCTAGGCACGAATGCAATGTGTATAGAGGCATATCGATATAAGGCTGGATCTGGGGTGTCAAGTCACCGTACCGCAGCTTGGAGAGTGGATGTTAGCCTACAGACTTGGTGAAGGTTCTTGCAGCCGCTGCGGATGTTGATCAACTAAATTTATTGAACCCAACCCATTGGCCTGTGCTTTTTGGGGCTTTGAGCGATGAAGTTTCTTTGTGTCATGACACGTGGATCTCACTGTCTTCTCAGAATGAGTGGTTCAAACCCGGTTACCGGGGAAGACACCCGAGTTTTTTTGGGCACAGATGCCCGTGGGAAGTTCTGAGAATGGCCTGGTGGAATTCTCCAATGTCCTGCCCTCATCTTTGCCGAGCAAAAGTGCGCGGGGCAGCAATCGAGAACCTCGGGGATCTCGCGGGGGATCTCGATCTCCAGGACATGGGAGCTTGGAGGATCGCAACTTGACACCTGACCTTCCAGGTTCTTGTGATCCAGGTCCAGAACAGGAGGATGGTGCCAAGACATGTGACCAAAGGCATAGCATACAGTCGCGACAGTCGCGTTTGGTGCCAATTCAGAACGATGAAGTGGCAGGAAGCACAGGAAGCAAGCCGTCTGCGTTGGCAGATTCCCATCAGGAACCAGAGACAGGAAGGAAACGGAATGTTATGGCATCGCAGGCTTCGAGTGCGAATGTGTTCGCAGTGGCAAAGGTCGCCCTGAGCCACACCAGCAAAGCTTGTGACAAGTTGGGATTTGGGGATGCGGTTGAACCTGTGATGCAGTTGTACTTAAACGACTGCTGCTCTGATGGACCTTCTGCTTGGGTGCGGGGAGCCAGAACTGCAGGCTTTGTTCTCAGCCTTCTCTTCTTTCTACCGCTTTTATCCTTTGTTCCCTTGCTAATACCTTTTTCAGCACCACATGAAGGTTTTGCAAGCAATTGGACCTTCAATTTCGTGGCCCATCCTATCCTGAACTATGTGTGCGCACGTGCATCGCTAGAGCTGCTCGCAAGGGCCATTGAGCCTCAGGAAAGGCACCGGGTACGTTTGATTGTTCGCTGGATTCCCCTAGTGAACTGCACTGTTTGCCTTTTGATCCACGGCACTGCGAGCCTCTTTGGCATCTTTCCGCTGCCCTTTTCAGCTTTGACGAGTTGCATTCCAGGCATTCTGTCAGCATCGTTTCTGGCCAAACAATTGACGCCAACAGATTTGCTGACACATGACTTTCGGCAATTTGCCAAGTTTGTGCTATTGATGTGGACACTCTGGATGCTGCAATTCCTGATTCTGACAGGTTATCTACTGTCATTTCCGCTTCTCCCTCCGTTCCACCAAGTGCTGCTCAGTTTTGCAGTGACTAGCATTTTGAGTGGCTTCGGCTTCCTCATAGAAATGCTTGCCGTGTGGATTGGTGTGCCAAAGTACTATGCTACCGAATTGAAACCAATGATATACTTCATCTCCTTTTTGTTCACGGCCGCGCTTTTCTCGTCAGCCAAATCTGTGTGGGTCTTCGTGATCATGCTGGTGCAAGACGCAGGAAAAGCTCTGGCTATACTTAGCAAGACCTGGATCTTCCTCAGCAATTACTTTGTGAGACCAGTGGGCGGTGATGAGGAGAATACTGTTGGCAAGACCAAGAGTCTAACTCAGAATGGGCGGTGCCTTAGGTTCTGGTCCATGATCGAGACAAAGGTTTGCAGCATCAGGGAAACCGGAGGGAGGTTGCAACACATCTTAGTCGAATTTCAGGTGCACACACGTGAGAGTCTTCAGCATGCAACTATCACAGCTGCAGATGCACGACTGTTGGACAATTTTGCGCGCTTCTTGGTTTTGTTCACCATGGTAGAAGTGTGTGAAGTTCTTGTGCCACTGCTCTACATCATCGTCGCCACCTTGCTTCATATCCCTGAAGTTGGGCAAAACCGTCAGTACTTGTACGTCTTCAAAGACATGAACTTTGGAGATGCACTTCGCGGCAATTTTGTAGCCTTTCTCATAGAAAGCTCCGTGTTTCTTCTGACCCAAGTTGTTCTTCTTAGAACACTTGGCTTCAATCTCTGGTATTTTGCAGGAAATGTGCTGAATCTGGACTTTTGGTACTGGACATTTGCTTTTTCCACCTGCTGCGTATCATGGACTACTGTGTTGATAGCTCACGCTGGACACGATCTTGAGTTGTTCCGGTCTTTGTTTTCTTTTTGACACCATAGCAAGTGCTACCGACAACGGGTAGTTCATTTTTTTGGTGCTACGGGGCGCCGCGGTTTAAAAGCATGCTGCAAAGATGGCGTGTTAAGATGTGAAGCTGTGCTTGAGCATGTTGAATATGTTGAATCATGAAGCGGCGATGGCAACGGAAATCCAACATGTTACTATTCCCGTACTTTGGCAGGCAACGCCACACGAGGTGCATCACAGAGAGTTTTTTCTCTGTGGAATACCATCAGTTAAGCGGGAAAAGTTTAACAGAACATTCTGGGGCATAGTTCCCCAAACAGGGTGTAAATTCTCGCACAAAAGTTTCCTTGTGAGATATCCTTGTGAGATATCCATGAGAAAACCGCTTATGAAATGCACTTGAATGGAAGTAATTACTTGGAATCTGTAGAACATGATTTCCGAATCTATAATGCAGCCTTAAACCGAGAATTTTAATGTTTCTCCGTGGTTCCTTGGCTACGCCAACGCCTTGCTTCTTTTGAAGATATTTCATTGCAAGGTATGGCTGGCTGGGGAAAAAAGGCTCGCACAAGATGGGCGGTGCGGTTTTGTCTCTTCCGAAGGCCTCGTTTAACTAGCGCGCCGTGCTCTTTTTTTGAGCTATGTCCATTTTGTGTGGCAGGAGTGGGACGTGAGTCTGGAACGTCGTTTTGCATGGCAGGTGCAGGATACTGGACACTTTCTCATCCCCGTGCATGTGTGGCGCTTTCTGCACGTTGCTAAAACGTTGCAACGTTGGCAGGCGTGAGTCAAAAAGAGAGATGGTTTTGGAGGTCATTTTTCGTGGCAGGCGCGGTATTTGGTGAACTTGGACGACGTTTTGAAAGGGTCGGAAATTGCGTTTTTGTGAAACTGTCGTCGAATTTGATTTGGGCCATGTTGATGATTCCGTGAAGCAGGTGCGGCACTTCGGATGCCTCGGGCTCAATTTTCGTGGTTTGTAGACATTGTAGACCTTGACAAAAAAGTGGCTGAGACCTAGGTAAAAAGTCGTTTTTGACTTTTTCAATGTTCATTTTTCGTGGTGGGCGCAGTGTCTGGTCAGAATCTGACATATGCTCGCGCAACCCTCTCGTGACTTTAGGCGTGTGGGATCGCTCTCGTTGTGGCGCGGTGCGAGTCTTGCTCTCGTTGTTGCGCGGTTCCATAGCTACTGTTGCTTGTGTCTGGTACATTATTGACCTTCTACCCGCAATGGTTGGGGCCTCTTGCCGGTGTAGACTTTTTTGTTTTCAATGCCCTCTACCAAGCTCACATTCAAAGCAGAGGCTACAGTTAGATTTCATCGCTTAGTCCTAGTAACAATGCTAATGCGTCGATGTATTTTCATGTTTGTCTTCATTCGAAAGCGGGAGCACACAAGTCGTTTCAGCGCAAGATAAGCATGTTTCTCTGTCATTTTTGTTTGCATCAAGATTATGGTCGGAGCAGTTGCGGGATTTTTTTTTTATCTAAGCCGCAGAGACTGCCCTGGAACCGATTATAGACAAATAGAAATACAACAGAAACTGTATCTCAGATGTGTTTCTGCATGAAGCCGCAAGTGGCGGTGGATATGCACCTGGTCTAGTCCAGCCTAGCCTTTTCGACACATAGCTCCCAAATAGATCCAAATAGATTGAACAGTTGGAAATCTGATATTCTATATAATATCTCTTGCAACCACTTTTCTTTTCTATCGTTTTTGAGGCCTTTATATGAGCTATATTTCATGCATGTGTTCCGGTGCGTTTAGCTTTGTTGCAGAAGTGGCCATTGAAAGGGGAAAACACATTCTTGGGGCAGGAGTGCACGATTTGTGCTGAGACTGGCCACCGTTTTTGGTTGGAGTTTAGCCGGCTAATTCTACAAAACCGGATTCTTCCAATGTCTGCTCTGTTTTGATGTTTGTTTCACTCCTTGATTCAAATGCAAAGAGCTGAGGCGTGAATTTCGGTCAACATTGCCGTTCATGCTGCACTTGAAGGGTCTTGTGGTTGAGTATCTTGGCGCCGAGTGATGCCACAGAGTGGCGGCATCAGCTATAATATAGCCGTTCCGTAATTTTTGGTGACGCTGTGTGTTTCCTTTCCCAATTGTGTGTCTAACGGAGAATCAGAAAATGTCAAACACTTTTTGCACCCTCCCAAATTCAGCAGTAGTCTAAAGGATGTTCACTGCTTTTCCTCCATTGTGAGATGTTGCGAGTACAATTTATATAGTGCCTGCTACTGCTAAGGTAGCGATTCCAGTGGGTGACTATGTGCTATCCCGGGACGTGTGCGTGGAACGCAAGGCCATCATCGATTTGGTGCAATCTTTGGGCAGTGGAAGGCTCTACCAACAGGCCCAAAACATGTGCCTTCACTACAGCAACCCGTTGTTGCTGATTGAGTTTGATCCTGCCAAAGGCTTTGTGCTGCAAAGTAGCTATGCTATCGCCCGGCGAGAGATCGAAGTTGGCACCAAGGATTTGCTGGGCAAACTGTCGCTGTTGGTGCTGCACTTCCCAAAGCTGCGCTTGATGTGGAGCCCATCTCCTCGATTCACGGCGGACATTTTCATGAAGCTAAAGGACAGGGTTTCAGGCTCGTTACATCTCGTTACATCCAACTGTGTGGCTCCCTTTAACCATGCCCATGTATATGTATATGTATAAGATTATGTATGTATGTATGTTTGTATGTATGTTTGTATGTAATGTATGTATGTATGTAATGTAATGTAATGTTATGTTATGTTATGTAATGTTATGTAATGTTATGTAATGTAATGTAATGTAATGTAATGTTATGTTATGTAATGTAATGTAATGTAATGTAATGGTATGTAATGTATGTAATGTATGTAATGTAATGTAATGTTATGTAATGTTATGTAATGTTATGTAATGTTATGTAATGTTATGTAATGTTATGTAATGTTATGTAATGTTATGTTATGCAATGTTATGTAATGTTATGTAATGTTATGTAATGTTATGTAATGTTATGTAATGTTATGTAATGTTATGTAATGTTATGTAATGTTATGTAATGTTATGTAATGTTATGTAATGTTATGTTATGTTATGTTATGTTATGTAATGGTATGTAGGTATGTAATGGTATGTAGGTATGTAATGGTATGTAGGTATGTAATGGTATGTAGGTATGTAATGGTATGTAGGTATGTAATGGTATGTAGGTATGTAATGGTATGTAGGTATGTAATGGTATGTAGGTATGTAATGGTATGTATGCCTATTGTATGTATGTAGCTATTATGCTATGTCTGCTTGTATGGTATGTATGGTATGGTATGGATGGTATGTATGGTATGGTATGTATGGTATGGTATGGTATGGTATGGTATGTATGGTATGGTATGGTATGGTATGGTATGGTATGGTATGGTATGGTATGGATGGTATGGTATGTATGGATGGTATGGTATGGTATGGATGGTATGGTATGGTATGGATGGTATGGTATGGTAT